CGCGCGCGCGCCCCGCCGCGGCGCCCCCTGCCGGCCGGAGGGCCGCGCAACACCCGCCACGCCGCCCGGCTCTCATTGGGGCACCGCAATTAACGGGGGGGAGAGGGGGGCCGCTCAGCCCCATCCCAGCCCCATCCCATTCCAGCCCCATCCCAGTCCCATCCCATCCCAGCCCCATCCCGGCCCCGTCCCGCCTGCGCGCCCCGCTGTGCCCCCTCGGCCCCCTGCACAGCCCGGGCCGGGAGCCGCCTCAGGGCGCTGATCCGGGGGGGCCCGCGGGGCTCCCCGCACCCCGGCCCCGCAGGGAGCCCCGTGCAGCCCCGGGGCCCTCGGCACGAGCCGCGGTCCGGGCAAGGGCAAGGGCRGAGCGGCCCCTCCGCGGTGCCGGGYAGGGCTGCAGCCCYGGGGCTCCGCGCTCCTGGATGCGGGTCCCCGCAGCGGCTCTGCCAGACGGGATGGGGCAGGTGGCACGATGGGGACAGACAGCGGGAATATCCCCCACATGAGAGGTCGGCAGGAGGGAAGGAGGCAGGGGCTGCACCCTCCTCCTGCCCTAACTTGTTCCCAAAGACCTGYCACCCCCAGGATCCCTGGGCAGGGAGCAGGACGGGGCCCCAGGGCCTCCCGACGTCCCCCCATGCGGAGCACAGAGTCCTGTCCAGCACAGCAGACACGGGCAGCACAGGCAGGACATTTCCTTCAGGGTTTTATTGAGCAGCCACCGGCCCCACAAACCGGCCTCTCGAACTGTGTCCAGCCCTGAGGGGAGCCCCTTGCCCCCGGCTCCGACACCGGCCCCACTCAGGGCTCCGTCCCTGTCCCGGCGCTCGTCCCCGCTGGGCACCCAGGCACAGCTCCGCACCCAGGSCAGGGGCTGGGCAGCGCGGAAGGGGCCGCCCGTGGGGACCCGGCCAGGGCCTCGACAGCCGCCCCCGCGTCCCCCCGATCAGTAGGCGGCCGGGAAGTCGGCGGCGAAGTCGAACTCGTTGTGGCYGAGCCACAGCTCCGGCAGCTCGCGGGCCCTGTCGAGGCCCAGCTCCACCACGAGCGCCGTGAGCACCTCCTCGTCCACGGGGTCCCAGTCCATGAGGCCGGCGCCGGGCGGGGGGCCGTGGGGCTGAGCCCCACGGGCCCAGGGGGTCCGCGAGCCGGGCGCCGCCAGGGCGCTGCGGTACTGGCTGTTGAGTCTCTGCAGGTGCCTGCTGGCCAGGAGATGGGGGCCGGGCGGCAGGCCCACGGAGGCGGCCGTGGCCGGCATGGCCGCGGCGCCGCTGCCGTGCGTCCCGCCGCCCGCCTCGCCGCCGTCGCGGTACTGCAGGACGGTCCCGGCGTCGCCGTCCTTCACGGGCAGCAGGGAGCTCATGGCATCGCCGGGGCTGCGGGGCACGGGCACGGCGGCGGCTCCGCTCCCCTCGGCTGCGCTGCGCCCGCCCCGTCGGCGCCGCCGCCTCCTTTATAGCGGCCGGGCCGCGGGACGCGCCAGGCGGGCGGGACGGGACGGGGCGGCCCCGCCTCCCTCCCCCGGGCCCGCCCCGGCCCCCCCATCCATGCGGGAAGCGCCVTGTGTGCTGGACACCCCTCCTGCTCCCCCGCAGAAGGGGCGCGGTGGTGACAGGGCTGGCGAGGCGACCAGGTTTTGCCCGCCACCCGGGGGGCACAGGGACCGGGAGCTCTGTGCGGGGGCCGGGGTCCCCCCCTCCCCAGCTCCCGCGTCCCCTCTGCCCTCTTCACCAAGCTGAGCCCCGACACCCCCAGCAGCCGGGGAGGTGACAGTGAGCACAGGGGTGGCTTTGTCCCCATCCCAAGCTTCCCCCGCCACCCCCAGGCAGGTGGTCCTGGTGTGTTTGGGTGCCAGATGTCCCCCATCTCCGACCCAGTTCTGTCCAGCTCCTTTTCACTGCGGTTCCTCGTCTAACGCTAGTACAGCCCCATCTGCTAGACGTTAGGCTGCTTCCTCCTCGTTTATTTGTTTCTTTTTCCAAGTTTTTGGTTAGTTTTGAGTCTTGGTTCCTTTCTCTCAGGGAGCAGCTGGGGAAGGAGAGGAGCCACGGGGGGCGCCCAGGCTTGGGGGAGATGCGGGGGCCACCTGGGACTGCGCCCATACCCTAGGCCCCCAACCTTGCCCCCAGCCCCAGTTCGGAGCACAGGCTCCAACCCCTCTGCGTGCAGGTGACTTTGGGGTGGCCCAGCTCTCCGTCACTGCACCGCTACCCAAACAAGTGCCCAGGRCTTTCTGCAGCCACTGCCGGCCCCGGGCAGCCTCAGGGACACTGGGAAACCCAGATCCGCTTTTCTTCTCTCTCTTAAAGCACCACATCTCCCAGCGGGATGAGGAGCCACCTCCAGCAGTGACGGGGCAGCCCGAACCCAGAGCGAGCATCCTGCGGGAAAGCGGGAAGAGCCAGGGGGTCACCGGTCAGCGCGCAGGGACGTGGGAGCCGCGTCCAGCTGAGCTCCGTCCCTGCTGTATTTCCTGTTTGCAGCAGAAGTGAAAAACAAGGGATCAAAACAAAGCCGGGCCAGGCCAGGAGGCCCTTGGTCTCGCTATTTATTCCAGCAAAAGCTAATTAAAGCAACCGGAAATTTGCTTTCCCATATCCATTAAGGCATTTTTTAAAAATGATATAAATAAAAGCCCTGTGGACCAGGTGAATGAGGGGACAAGGCCAGCCAAGGCCTCAGTCCCCGGCCCGGCCTGGCTGGTGCCAGGAGGGATCTGCCTCAGGACCGGCCTCGCGCAGGATTTTGGCGACTCACCAGTCCCCACAAGTGCCCTGTGCTGCTCTATGTTGGCAGAGCCAGAAGGGATGGTCACAAACCTACGTGCAGCTCTCCCGAGCTGAGGGACTGCAGCAAGCAGGGTGCTGGCCGGGCTCCTTCCACTCCAGCCATGAGGGTGCTACCATCGTCCCGTGGTGCCCACGTTGCACGGGAAAACGTGGAGGAACGTCAGGGAGATGGGTGGTGGAAGCCTGACCGCCCTCTGTACTGCCCCACTTCCAGAGAGCTCGTGGGACCTGCCCAAACCGCCCCACGGAAGGTGCTGGACAAGAGCTCCTCGAAGGCAAGGGGAACACAAGAGGAGCAAGGGCATGGGTAGTTCAAGTATTTTATTTGTATAAAAATGCCCAACAGTTTAAAAACTCAACGGCTGTGACTTCTTGGCTGGCCCTCAGCACCTCTGTCCGGGCGGGCGCCTCGGAGGCGTCGTGYGAAGGCCGCGGTCCTGCCAGGCAGGCAACGAGGTAAAAGCTGGTGCTGCTGCCAGGGCCCAGCTGTGGAGGGGCTGCAGCTCTGAGCTCTCAAAACCCATTAAACCCAGTGGGGAGAATAAAACTCTGTGTTATTTAAAAAGGAAAGAGAAGGGAGCAAGTGCTGGGTGGACGCAGGAAGGCTGGAGCTGTGAGGCCCACGTGCTCCTGCCTGCACAGGGCCACGGCACTCGGCAACTTGTTTAGAAGAGAAAAATCAACTGAGCCACCAAGGGCAAGTCCCCCGCAGCCCTGCTCCCCGCTGCCAGAAACAGCGACGTCTTCAACACCAGGGATGCGCTCAGGGATGCTCTGGCTTCCCTGCTCCGCTAAACAACATGCTTCAGGTTCCCTGGAAACAGAAAGAGACGGARAAGATGTTTCCACTGAGGCTTAACCCGTGATCCATCATGTGTTAGCTCAACCTGGGGGTGGCTGAACTGTAGAGGCCTCTTCTCCCAGTACCTCCCACTGGGAAGGACAGGGAGAGGCCCTCGATTTGCAGGTACCCAAGGGATGGGGCTGAGCCTTGCAGCCGAGACCCGAGACYGCAGCAATTTTAGGGTTTTTTTTTTCTTAATTTTCTTAATAAGCCAAYAGAAGCACAGCCCAAGCCATTATCCGATACACTGTGGACAGCAGTCCCTATGCTGGGAAGATTTCATAAAAACTGGCTTTAATTTGGGATGTCTGCATGCCAAAGGCTTAAAACAGTTTGGGCACGTGGCTCCTATTAAATCAGTCCGTTCCCGAGGACTCATTCTGTGCAGTGCAAAGCGTGGCAYTCAGGACAGCCCAGACTTGCCAGAGAGCCCATCTCATCCGGGCTCCACTTGCTGCCTGCGGCTTTCCCAAGCGCTGCCATATGTGGCCAGGCAGAGGGTGAGGGCTTCCTGGTATCTTGTTCTTGTCATCTCTTCTGTCACCCCCTGCCTTCCTTGATGGACTTCACGAGCTGGTGTGGGCAGAAAGGATGAACAAGACTGCCAGAGTGGCTTGAAGTCTTCTTCCATCCCCTGGGTTGCCCACAGGAGTATTAATTCCAAAATATTGACAGCAAACCACAAAACAGGAGATCCCAGAACAAATGCATGCTCTCTGGATACTGCCACYGTGCCAGCCTGTTCCACCACATCTTGCAGATGGTGAAAATAGATCCCTTGTAAAAATCGGAACAACTTCAAAAGACTTTTAGCTCCTTTGTGTTTTGTTTCCTTTCTCAAAGTTGGTGAATGTGAAAGTCTTGCTAAGTGTGTGACACATGGAGCTTACATTGCCAATTGCACCCGAGAAGCTTCAGGGTACTTGGTATAACGTTATTACAAGCTGGTGCCCCTGAACCAGCAGGGCTGTCTTGGGGTGGACAACTCACCTTTGATAGAATTGAGGATCTCTTGAATTCTCTGCGGCTCATTGCGGTCTGGTCTGCAGCTCGGTGTGATCTCCAGCACGTAATCCGGACCGTACTCCGTGAAAAACTGCAGGAAGAAGAGAGGAGAGGCAAAAGAGAGGTCTCCGGCGGGCAGAGGCTGCAGGATGGCTCCTCACGGGTACCTGTTTGTAAAAGGGAAAAGCATTTTCTCCTTGTGAGGGGGAACACGGAGTTCAGCTATGTCAAAGCCGGGCTCCTGCAGTGCCTCTGCCCACTCAGTGTTAGCAACTGCTACCACTGGGCAGTATCTGCTGGGGAGGCTGTGCCTTCCAGCGCCTGGAAGATGCAAAATCAGAGCTCCTCAGCGCTACAGTGTGTGTCCATCCAGGCTGACTGCTGGAACCGCGTGGCCAAGGCTCACCAAGATCCACAGCACCTCTGCACAGTCACATACAATCCCCTCTGTTATCACTAGCAGTCTTTTTTCATCAGCAAGCGGCACAGATTGTGCACTATTCCCTTTGTAGCGAGTCGTTCATTTAATTTGACCTAGGCTATCGATACCATCAGGATGAGCCTCCCTGCATCTCCCAAACCGAGGCGGCAGGATGCTGCATTCTGTTTTGATTGCTTTTAGTTGATYAAAGAACTGCAGGGACTATTCACAGCAGAGAGGCAGGGAGGGAGCCAGGGCTGGTCTGAACAGGAGGCTGAGGGGCCGCAACAAACATTTAGCTGTTGCAGGGAAAAATATATTTTCATTGGTGAAAAAAATGCTGATTTGCAGAGATGAAAAAAAGGGGCTTAGAGCCAAGGCTGAAAGGAAAAGCTAAAAATTCCTACCTGAATAAGCAGCTCACCTGGACATGTACCACCTCTCCCTTTTAAAACTTACACAAGCTGAAACAACAAATGAGAGGCTCAAAAGTGACTGGCTGCTGCTAAGCCTTTGCACAGACTCCTTGGAGTTGAAGTTTAAGCGAGAGGGATGCATCCTTGGGACTGCAAATGCCTTCCCTCCCATGAGATGGGTATCCTGGAGAAAGCAGCAATGCCCGAAGTAGTTGTGTAACTGCTGACTGTTTTGATGATCTGAGAGAGGGTGACAGCAAAGGTTCAAGAGATGGGAACAAGGACTGACCATAGGGAACAAAGTGTTGAAGGAAGAATCGAGCAGGTGCAAAGGCCAGGAAAGGAGTGAGAGACAGAAAAGGCAAAGAGGAGAAATTTAAAAATCGGGCAGAAGTAATCATGTCTTTAAATGAGAAGGGTATTTTCTTGCGAGCAGCTCCAGATCTGACAAATACGCCAAGAGCAAATAAATAAACAAATAAATAAGCTATCTTATAAAAGTCTAAAATTGCCCTCCTCATTTCAGTACCGATCCGAAGAGACCTGCTAAACCTGGCTGAAAGGCAGAGAAATACCCTGAGTGCCAAGCAGACGTGGCACTTCATGGTGATGTGCTTCAGCAGKGCCTGGTCCCAGCCAGGAGCTCCAGCAGCTTCCCTGGAGCTCTGGGTTTGTATGGCAGGAAAGCGGCGCCTGGACCGTGGTCAGGCGGATCCCACTCAGGAAGTCGGAGCCGAACGCAAAGAGGTGCCCAGCCTGACAGCTCCACTTCCAGGTTCCATGTTAATCAGAATAGGAATTCCTATTTAAAGCAGAGGAAATAAGGGATCAGGAAGTACCAACCTTTGTTTCTGTGCCTAGGCACTGATAAGCTATTAAATCACTAGCGGTTCTTTGCCAGAAGCAGCAGAATAAACCTGGGAATATGACAAACAGCCACCAGCTCCGTGCCCGCACACACGGGACATACTGTTTCCCTTCAGGTTATCTCGTAGCTGTGCAAATATTTCACTCCATGTGCCCACTAGAGTCCCAGCCAATTTCCCACCATCGGGACGTTTTTATTTTCAAGTCCATTTCCACCAGCTCACCCCACACATGCTAAGCTGCCCTTGCAGCACCACGCAGGCAGCCTGGATTGTGTCAGGGAAGTTAGAGGGCAAAAACGGGTAGGTCGGAAGGACTCCCCACACATGCAAAACCATCAGCAGGAGCTACCCTGGGATTTTCTCTCTGGAGGCTCTGCAAGATTCATGCAAGATGATAATGTCCCATTCTCAACTGCAAAAGAGCAGGAAGCAGGCAGCCCCTCAAAGCACTGCTGYGGAACCTGCATTAAGATGAGGAACTACATTATCTTGTACCTGGTATATTCAGAGGAGGAAAAAAATGTGGTGAATATACCCTGCTGCAGTCTTCTCCTACCAGAGGTTCAGGCACAGACCTAAGTCGCTGCAAGAAAGGGGGTGTGAAGCACCCGGAGAAATCACTTATGGTTTTGCTACACAGCTGCACTGCTTCCCATTTGACTTGAAAATATGAAAACAAATTAAACACCCAAAGACACCATTTCCAACTCAAATGAGAAAGGGCTGGGAAGCTTTTATGATGGAAGGCAGGATGGCAAGAATCAAATGTGCACGCTGCAAAAGGAGCTGCTGGAGTCCCAGATCGCAGGGTCTAGGTCCTGAGAACAAGGTGAGTGTCACCTGACTGGATAACACTGGGAATACTGGGACAAAACCAAACGGAGGGACCTAACCAAAAACCTGGGCACGTCCTGTTATGGAAATAGCTTTGAAAGGAGAATTTTCCTAAAGGAAGTGGTGGAAGCCCAACCATTATCTAAACCCAGATAAAGCCCTAGAGCATAAACAAAAGGGAATGTTCTGCACTGGGTGCCAGTTGACTTTGGAGAGGGAGCTCTGATATCTTAAAGCCATTATTTTTTCCATGTCTGGCTTTCATGAGCCTGCTTTTTTATCTCTTTTTTTTTTCTTTAATTCATTTCTTTTTAAAATAGAAGTCCTGGTAACTGACCCCAACCCAGCACGTATCATTACGGGTATCTTTCAACAATCCTCCCATCAAAATAAATAAATAAAATAATATTCTTGATACAGTAAAGCTTACATGCTGTAATACACAGGATGGGTAGAACTGGCAGAAATAACCTACCCCAAAGTTCCTCAATGTTGAATTGTGCTAGGCAGGCAGAAAGCTCAGAAGATGCAGGCCAACACTGCTGCACATATGTAAAATCCATCCATAAGATTGCTATAGTTGTCTTCACTTGAAATCTCAGTGCTACAGACACTCTTATTGCACTGGACCCGCTGTCCTCATTCTCTGGAGTGGATCAACCTGCTCCAGGGAGCTCAGGGGGAGRACGATGCAATATCCTATTTCTTTTGAATAGGGCATATTTTGCAAAACACCTGGAAGTGGCAATGGGGAAAACTCCTGGGATAAGCATTCGTAACAAATTAAGYAGTGGTGGCTTCAAAGAAAACAAGGACATTCCCCACGGAGTGCACAGCTAAGCTGAGGAGTGCTTGGCCAAAGGACACAGTAATTACTAAAAGCAATTCAAACAAAACACTGGACAAAATCACCGAAGAAATGCCATGAAGAACTTCCAGATTCAGAGACAGCAGGATATTTCTTGGCCATAATTCACTGAAAGCTGGAAGAGTATCCTGAGAACCTCTATTTGCACTGATGTTTGTACTCTCTCTGCATCTGCTCTTGGCCACTGATAAAGGAGGAGACTAAACAAACACTTTTCTGGACAGCACTTCTCACTTGACATGGCAAAGGAGGTCCAGCCCTCCCCACTGTATGTCCATACTATTTAAGAACATCCCAATGAAACAAGGGGTAAAAAGTATGAAAAGACCACTGCTTGTAGGGCAGGGCAAAAGGATCTCACCAAGGGAGGCTCAACTCCACTTCTCAGTTCTCTTGGGTTTTGCTGGAGAGCTTGKGCTTCTTGAGCAGCCCCGAGGATGCTCCTGTGGGAGCTGCAGCAGCAGGAACCAAGTGCTTCTTGTTCCCTCAACAGGGCCCAGCTGTGCTCCTCCTGCTCCTAACCCTCCTGGGGTTCCTCGGAGAGGGGAACAAGCCGGGGCAGTTCAGGAACGGGACCCTGAGCACTCTGCAGTACCTCAGCAGGGCTGCAGCTTACCTCTTTGATCCCTGCCCATATAAAGAGCATAAAAAAAACTGAAGAGGGAAGACCTCCACAAACCTGCRCAGGGGTACTCGGTCTGCCCCGGGATCTCCTCCCACAGCAGCAGTGCCCTCCATCACTACCCGCTGTGCCAGGCACTGCCTGGCAGTGCATCTCCCTTCCCCCAAGSACTATGCTCAAGCACGGCCCTGCGAGCGCTGTTTCACGGTCCCAAATCCCGCGCTCGCTGCAGCCTGGCCCGCTGCAGCCTTGCTGCTGCCTGCACGCAGGCAGCTGATGCAGCCCCGGGTTCCTGCGAGCGCAGCCAGAGCACATGACCCCACGGAGCTGAAATCTCCCCAGGYGGGTGCAAAACAGAGCTACTTTTAATCCTTTCCTGGTAAACCTCCAAGAGGACAGYGAGAAGCAGCACATCAGCCCCAAGGTCGCAGCTGAGAGCGGGTCCCTCTCTCTGCTAGGTGGGCCCGGGCCCCTCAGGCCGCCTTGCTTACACTGTGTGCTCACAAAGCAAGGATGCTCAGCTCCCTGCCTCTTCCTCAGYCRGGAAACCCCAGAGCACCGAACCCTTCAYAAAGATCCAAAGCACTTAGGAGGCTCCATAAGGTCATTCAAAGAACCACGTACTCCACCTGAATCTGGACGGCAGGTGACCAGATRTTACTTCAACCCGGAGTGCTTCAGTGCACAGGGTTTGTCACTGTGCTCCATGTAGTAACATGAGAGCAAACACCAGCCACTTTACCTGCTGCTCGTTGGGCCAGGCTTCCCAGGGTCGGGGCAAGCTGCCAACACAGCCCTTCAGCTGCCAACAGAGCCCTTCAGCAGGGAAAGTTCAGACATCTCGGTTTCAATGCAAATGACCTTGCAGCATCCAGTATGAAAGCATTAGAGGGACCTTTACTCCTGGCTAAGTAAATATTATGTTCAGCATTATGAAATGATCCGGTTTAGGAGGAGAGAGAGGGAGCAGATAGTTGCATCAAAGTTATATTAAAGAAAACAAACAGAATCCTTCAATGATCTTCAAGACAGTTGGTTTCAGAAAATGTTGATCTTGGTTCTAGTTCAAAAGCCAAAACATAGACCTGATGGGACCTTCTGATGGGAAGAGGCAAGAATACAGATTTAAAATTGATAAAGGAAATCCTTTGAAAAGCTGTGAGCCTTGGCCTGTGGCTCTGGGCTTTGGGACACTTGATACAAACTGCTTAATACATTTCAAAACAGGATTATACATTGATATGAGAAAGAGCATCTGGAGCTATTAGCGAGCCTAGAAATTAGGCTCTTGGTTTCCTGCTAGAGGACACGAGCCAATGTCCAGCTAGTGAAGACAAAAATTTCACACCGATGTGAAGATGCACAACTTCCTTACTGGGCAGCAGGGCCACAATGACCATCAGCAGGCAGAGACATGCGGGTGGCACCTGGTTCTTGCCTTGCTCCATTGCTGAGGATCTGCACAGGCCACAGAGAGCTGAGGTGACTCCACACACAGTGGGATGCACTGTAACTCCCACATCTCCCTTCCAGCTGCAAATCAGCTCTCAAGAGGCTCTGCAGAGAATGGTAAGGGAATGTACCTGTCCACAGGAACACTCTTCCCAGTGCCTTTTTATTAGCAGCTCATCAGCAGCTCAAAGCCAGGGAACATATATCCATTTTTTTCTACTACACAAGGAGCAGAAAGTTGTAGGAACAGCAATATGGGCACGGAGCCTTTTGTGATAGCTCATATAAACAGCCCTTTGCCTTTGGAAGACTCCTCGTCAGTGAAGCTTCAAAGTTGCACCTGGTGCTTTCTGCGAGCAGACGAAAGCAGGGCTAAAATGTAAAGTTTTGAGAAAGGTCTGTCCTTTCCCTTGCAAAAGTATGTGCACATCCTGAAGAGCTCTTTGAGCCAACAGGTGACCCCCCCCCATTCCCACCCCCTCTGCAATTACGTGAGGCTCTGAAGTCGATTGGCTTCTGAGAGGCCTCGCAAAGAGACGCAGAGGGTCTCGGGTTTGGGGAACAAGCAGCCACTATGTTGCTGGGACAGTGCAGTATTGTTCCTGGAGGGCCTCTCAACAACCCAGCATTGAGCGGTGAGGATGCGGCTCAGATTAGGTGGAATGAGTTAGCGCTCTCGCAGGGAGAAGGGAGGGATTGTCCAAGCCTTACCTCATGATCGGGGATCTCGGAGGCCAGCGTTCTCCCAAGGATGATCCCGGTCAAGTACGTCCAGCAACGAGCTGTGTTGGCAAGGTTGTAGCCTCCTGTCTCCAGCAAGAATTGAGATGTTGGAAGGGGAAAGGGGAGAGAGGRGGAGAGGTTTTACTAGAAGGAACAAATGGTGAGGGTAAAACTAGCAGCTCGCACGATAAAGGTGCTTGTTTCACCCACCCAAGCCGTGCACACAATTGATCTGAGATCTCAGGCTAAGAGCTGGGAGGCTCTGCCCAACAGAGAGGCTTTTATTGAAGTACTGGGTAGCCAGAGGCTTGCACTGTGCTCTCCCTATGGGACAAGCTGCTGACACAGGCAGGTCAAATACAGCTTCCACTGGGTGGCAAGAGCCCTGCTGCACCATGCAGGCAGCCAGCCCTTTTCCCAAGCCCCTGCCTGAATCCAAAGACATCATTCAGTGCCAGACGCCCACAGTAGGTTTGGGAACAGTGCTCACTTTTAAGGAGAAGCCCTGCAGAGCTTCTGATGACCAGAAGCCCTGATGAGCAGAGCTGGGACCCAAGGATGGCACCTAGAAGCCATGATCAGAGCTCACCAGGTTTAAAAACCTCTGCTCTCCTCAAGAGGAGCTAAGCAACCTTTAGCTCGGGATCTTGGGGCACTGAGATTTGGACCTGATGACTGCCAGGGCCTCGTGTTGTGTAAAATTGGCACTGCATCAGCTGTAGTGCCYTCCTCATGATGACAACACGAGCCACCCTTCTAGAGCCCAAAGCTCAGGTGGGTTTGCAGTCTGCTCCCTCAGGAAGCCCGAAGCTCTGCGCGTGCTCACCTCCTCCCAGGACGAGCGTGGCCAGCTGCCACTGCAGCACGTACTTGAGGCACTTGCCCACTCCCTCGGGCGTCATGTTGAAAGAGCACATGGGGTCTCCAGCTATGGTGTCCGCCCCCAGCTGCAGCACGACGGCATCTGGGTTGAAGGCAGCATAGACCTCCTTGAGCACGCTGCGGGGAGAAGAGCTGGGCTGCACCACAAGCACCCACATCAAATGGATGCTGCTGCCCTTCCACGCACTGCCCTGCTCAGTTCTGGGGTGGCCAGGACCTGCCCACCTTCCAGAACGCCGGGATGGAGGTTGTTCTGGGTGTCCAGTGCCTGAACAGACCAAGGTCCGGCTGAYAGGCCTGTTGTTCCCCAGATCCTCCATCCAGCCCCTCTTGTAGACAAGTGTCACACTGGCCTGTCTCCTGTTGTCTGGGACCTCTCCTGTTGACCAGGACCACTCACAGATGACGCGGAGCGGCTTGGCAAGCACTTCCACCCGCTCCCTCATAACCCTCAGGTGGATCCCATCTGGTCCCATAGACCTGTGGGTGTCCAAGTGGAGGAGCAGGTCACTGACTCTTTCCTCCTGAATTACGGGGGGTTTATTCTGCTCTCCACAGGCATTTTCCAGCTCAGGAGGCCAAGTCCCTTGCTGAGGTCAGTGTGTGCACACAAGCAAGGGATGTGTGCTGCGTTTCCTCCTCTGCTCACGTAGCCCTCCCACCCCAAGGCCCACCTAGTGCTGCTCTCTCTTGGAGCAAGGAGGACCAAAACTCACTCGGACATATATAAACTGCTTCCAGCCACTCTGAACTAAGCCTTGAGCCAAGACTTCTTAGTATTTCTCAGCAAGATCTCCCAGCAAGGACAGAGAAGGGTCTTTCAGGACATCCCTGCAAGCTTTTCTTGGCTGCATTAGGAGTTTAAAACCAAGTTTGCTGCCTCCCAGGGCTTTTCATCTTCAAAGCACATCACAGATATTACCCAAATGAAAAAAATCTCCCTGATGTGACTGCATTTGCCTGTAACTCCCGGGACCTCCATTAATGCAGGAAGATAGTTTGGCCCCCTTCTCGCTCTGCACTGTGCTCAGGCAGAGAGCAAGTGCTCCTGGTGTTCTGGSAAGTCAGAAGGGCTTTTCTGCAGTCTCAGCTCCTACCCATTTTCTACAGGCTAAAAGTTTGACCTGACAATAAAGCTAAACTGATGGTGCATCAACAGTCCCACCCATGCTTCCCATGCTCTTGCTTCTGCTTCAGCTGCTCCCCCAGTTTGAGCAGCACCCCGGTAAGAGCTGCTCACCAGGGTCAGGGTTCTCCTGAGTGCACAACCTGGCCAGGCTCATTGCAGTGCAGGTGAGCCCAGCAGTTCCTCTCCTCAGGGCTGCACCCAAGGCAGAGCTCTGCTGCGGCCCGCGGAGCGGACACGAGCAGGGCAGATGCTGCCTGCTTTCCAGACCTCCCCAAGATTCGTCTTTCAGCAGCATCCAATTCACTCCCCCTCAGGTTCCCAAGGACAACAGGAAATGGCTGCAAAGAAGTGGCCTTTTGTCAACCACAGAGAAACAGCTGAAAGACTCAAGGGCAAGGGGGAGGAGGTAAGAAAAAGGGCTTCTGCAGCTTCAAGCAAACCCTGAGCGGTGGTCGAGCTCTCTTGGCCTTGGTGGGATTGCTGCTGGAAGAGCAGCAGTGCTGCTCAACGCTTCCTCGCAGCGTGCGGAGATGATTGTCAGCCCAGCAGAATGGGGAAAGGCTCCCCAAATCAGAGGCTTTCATCTACTTGGGTAGACAGGGTGCCTGAGCACTGGCATGCGTTGGCTGCAGGGGTTGTGGGCTTTCCATCCTTGGAGATGCTCAAAAGCCACCTGGACACGGTCCTGGCCAGTCTGCTCTGGGTGATCTGGYTTAAGCAGAGGGCCTGGAGGGCTCATGGTACTACTGCAGTTTCCCTTATTCTAGCCTTCCTTCTGCAAGTGGGAAACCTAGACTTGAAGGGGAGAAAAAAAAGGCAAATAAAGTCTGGGATTCCCAGCCTGGGTCTCATCTACAGGATCTGCAAGAGGCACTGAAAAAGCCAGCTGCCTTTCAGGAGTCTGAAAGGTGAGATCCACCTGCAGAGATCCATGTTGCTGCCAGGATGCTGCCGGTGCCCATCGGATCAGATACGGGGGAACTGGCTCTGCTTGTGGGCATCACATCTCAGAGCAACCAGCACCACCAGGCTGGGCCACCACTCGGGTCTCTGCCTGCTGAGATACACATCCAGTCCCAGCCATCCCTCCTTCACTGTGTAACTACCGAAAATACACTGCAAATACAGAAATAACAGCATCTTGCTCGGCTGCATGCAAGGCACACCAAAGCACTGGGGCTACAAAGGTTCTGCCTGCTTTCTTTGGAAGGAACTTACATTTCTATCTTGTTTCTCCACTGAAAAATGGCCACAACCCAACCTCCAGATAAGCAGATTTTTGTCACGCAGCTCAGCCTGCCCTAGCTAACGTCAAATCCCCCCSCTACATCCACATCTATGCACAGCATTAACACACTGGGTGTGCATCAGTTACMATAACACAAGCAAACACTGGTCAGATATATATCTTTTTTAACATTACAGACAGAATCAGAAGAGAAATAGATGATTCTGTGATCTCATCCTGGTAGAATTAAGTGCCAGTCTGCAATATAAAATGTTACCTAATTTAAAATACCTCAGATTTCTCTTTGTCTTTTGAATGTCTCTGGGTTATTTCTTGTTTTAACTTTCTGCACTTATAATAATGTTTCTCACATGCGGCACCTTTCTTTCTTTTGAGCTTCAAAAGATTAATATCSAGATTCCAGGTAAGTGTACTGACATACCGGCAGAATGGATTTGATTTATTAATTTGGGCATTTTTTGGAAGGTGATCAAACAAGTGAGTCATTCTGGATATTCTTACTATGAGCCAGACCCTCATAACTTTCCTTTTGATGGAGAAGCTACGTGAGCAGCTTGGTTCCCCGAGGGCTGTGAGTGGAAACACGCGTGGGCTGCAGCTCTTGCCCCCTGCAGCAGCTCAGCACCCAGGGCTGCTGCTGCCAACCCTGCCCCAGCTTGCAGGCTTTGTGTCTCACGCTGCCTTTGCCTTCAAACGTTTAAAGATACGTCAGACCTTCCAGGAAATAATATAAAAAACGTCACACTTTGCCCCTCTTCCACACACAGCAGCTATTATTAACACTGTATTTTAATTGGAGCCTGAGTCACTTGCTCTGCAGAAACAATAGGCTCTTATACACGGGTCATACCACCSAGAAGCAGGACAGGAGCTTATCTGCTACAACAAAAGCAATCAAACACAAGCAGGGTAATTTATGGAGAGGCAAGTTCAAAGGGCACGTGCTCCAAGACCCCATGAGCAAACTCCCTCTTTATTTATGTCACTGAGCTGCAGTGGTTAAGTCTCCATAGGGAGAAGGGAAGCAGTTGTCCTCAAGACACAGGGAGAGGGAACAGTTTTGCCTCATGTTTCCCTGGCTTCTTGTTCTGGCAACGCCTGAGCTGATAGGACCTGCACAAAGAAGAAAGGGCTGCCAAGGAGCAGGTCTCCTCTCACCAGTAGGGGACACTGAGGAGAAGAATACATGGAAATGCTCTGCACAGGGTGTAATGGACCTACCAATAYCCGTGTCAGAGGAGGTCACCAGCTCCAATTCCAATCCAGCTTTGGAAAGCATGGGCAATTTGAGCTTGTGATCATCCTCTGGCATGAACTGGGCGAGATACYCATGATCACAAGTATGACCACCTCCTGGCCAGGACACAACCCTTCCTGTTTGCCCATGAGTTGCAGAACTGATTTTCAGATGTTTTATTGATACGCAGCTTGAAAGCTATGGTAGGACCTGTGCAGACAACTACGAACGTTTGCAACAGGCTAGTCCTGACCGAGCTCCTAATTGCCCGTTTGGCTCCTAAAGCTGCCCTGCCTCTTGGAAATACAACTCCCAGCAGAAAAAGGGCCGCTACGTCATGAGCAGACAGTGCCACTGCCCTATAGATCCCGAGCAGTGATAGCCCTCAGGTGCTACGGTTAAGAGATGGACGTGCTACCACATCCTGCAGTCCTCAGCTAATGTTAACCCCCCTCCCAGAAAAGGGCAAACCAAGCAGCTCAGCTTCAGCATGGACAGGAGTTTGTGAGATATGTCACCCATCAAGTGGTGGAGGGGTCTGCCAAGAGGCAGGTCTGTCACCGACAGACAAGGCTTCAGCCTTTCATTCTTCTGGGACAGACAAAAGGTGCTTTGAAAACATTTGTAGCTCAGCCCCAAGCATGTGTCTCACGATGGTTAGGAGTTCAGAGCACTTATTTGAAAAAAAAAGTGCCCAGCCAGGAGTACAGAGGTGGCCAGCCAAGAGTCCAAGTGAAGAGTACATTTCCCTTCTCAATCCCTTCTTAAACACACAAGTCTGACCCATAGCAAGGAGACCTTCCCTCCCACGACAAAGGCCTCTGTATATTCAGTTCGCCCAAGGATTTGGATGAGATCTCTGAAATGTCTGAGGATTATCTGTGTTCACTGTAATCAAAAACTGTAACAGGGGAAAGGACAAACCCTAACCTACAGGAAAGATTTTAATTAAAAACAGTAAATAAATAAATAATGCTGTGCAGTCTCTGTTCTCTAAAAATCCCTTGAAAACAAACTGCATCAGAGCAAGAGAGCTTACGTTTCACAGATCTGGTAATACTTCTCATCCTGGATGCCATCTTGAATAGGCACATTCACGCTGTAATAGCGACCTTTCCCCAGGCCAACATCTGTCACGTCACCAGTGCCTGCAGAACAGAAGCATCTCACAGTTAGTTTAGGCAGAAAASGGATCAGCTGCAAGAGACAGAAGCTTGGGATGTCTCACATGAGAACAGGTGGCCAGGGCTTGGTCTGCTGGTGGCCCCCTTGTCATCTCCAACAAGGAAGAGCTTRGATGCACCTGGTTCTAGTTGTCTGTCCTATCCCATAAGAAGCTTTCAAGTATTGCATGCTCAGGCTTTCAAGGGAGCTCTGACTGATGGCAGAAACTACATCACCCAGAGAAAGGCTGACACAGGCAAGGGACCATGGCAGCCCAGAAGGGGCTCTTGGACTCTGGGCATCAACCATCMTCTAGCTGGGAGAGTTCAGAGACCATCATTTTTTAAGAGCAAAAGATGGTCCTATGGTCAAGGGACAGGCCAAGAACCAATGTCCTGGAGAGAAAGGCTGTGAGGAACCTCTGCTGAGCCGARGGATGAGAGCTCCTTTCCCTGGTGCCTTGTCAGTGATGTGTAAACCAAACTAACCCAAACAAGTTCAACTTGCCTGGAAAAAATCCGGGTGAAAACTTGTGCAGAGAAACAGTCATGACTTTCGAAGTGAAACTAAAGGCATCTTCCACACCTACGGAAAGCGGGAAGAGAGGAAACATTCATGGATCTTTCAGGTAAGTGGCAGAGACCAAACACCCAAATGAGCCGCTCAACAAGCAAGGGGCAATGAGGGGAGCAGGAATGCAACTAATGAAACAGAAAACCACATGTGGCCCAATAAATCTATTCTTAATAAGTGGAGATCTACATTCAGATGCAGCAGAGGTCACAACTGAAATGAATTTGGCAGCTCTCATGCTAACCATAACTGAATGGATCACAATACCTCAGGGCAGTGCCCGTGTTAGCAGCCCTGGGAGGCTGAGGCAGGAGCTGAGGACGGCTGCCGTGACCAGGGCTTGGCTCTCATTAGAGCCAGAGCTACCAGGCTCCCTTGCTTGTTCTCAGCACTGCTGCAATTCAACACAGCTTTGGGTTTTTTTTCTGTTTTTCTTTTTTTCTAAAAGACATATTAAAATACCAAGGGTAAGGATAGGAAAAGAAATATTGGGTGAATTTAACAGAAAACAAATGAGTGTGTGTGGGGTGGAATGGAGCAAAATGAAACACGACATAAAACTTAAGAAAGYAAGAAGTGTTAAATGGTGTTGAAATAGTGTTCCTGGAGCAAAGAGCAGCTTCAGCAAGGCCCGCTCTGCCTCTAGCTTTATAGCATCAAGCCTTCTTTTAAGAGCATCATTTATTACCAACTGCTTCCCTCTTGCAATCYTGTCCTGGTGACAATAAGCAATTAATCATCATCACTGGATAGGAGACAAGGGGCTGGGAGAGATCCTCTTGCTGGAGAGCCTCTGACAGAGGCAATTAGCACACACCATCAATGCAGTTTGTCACTTCAGATACCAGACTGCTGCCCAGAACATCCTTGGGAGAGGGCAGGATACTTCAGTAACGCCAAGCCAACAAGCTGGCTTATCTATAATCTGGGACAAGGTAGAAGGGGATTGAGGGAATCTGCTTGCACTGAACAGAGATAAAGCCACTGTTGTTGCAGCAGATAAACTCCACTGCACAGACAGGCTTGCACCTCTGCTGCTCCTCCCTCAGTCTGTGCTGCTCTGCTCCTTGCAGCCTGCTCTGGGCCTTACCATCCCCATGATGCAAATCCAAGTCGATATAAAGGACACGGTCAAACTTCTGGCGCAGGCGCAGGATGCCCAGGACAGCGTCGTTCAGGTAGCAGAAGCCAGAAGCTTCATCTCTGTGAAAAGCAAAGGTCAGGAGGCYGAACATGACCACCACGGCCAGCATTCCCCTCGCCTTTGCCACCCCACGGCAGGGAGCAGAGGACACGCAGCTCTGCTGAGGCTCAGCAGCTGCCAAGGGACGGGTCAGCAGCAGCAAGGATCAGAGCACAGGACACACGCAGCTCACGCTGGTCCCTGCCAAGGYGAGGGCTCCCCAGCAGCCAGCCCTGCTGAGGAGAGGCTCTGCAAGGCCTCTCTGCCCACTGCACAAGCCAAACCCCAGCTTCCTGCAGCTGAAGTACTTCCAAGCAATCCAGGGCCACTAGAAATGCCAAGGCTGCTTTCCTCTGTCTCAGCCCCATTGTGGCAACAGGACAGACCCCAGTGGAGCCCCAGATGGTCATTTTGAGTGAGTCTCCTAGCCAACCCACAGCTGCTCAGTTTGGCTCACAGCTCCTGGAAGGCAGCGTCAAGGCAGCGGGAGGAAACACCGATACTTTGCTGCTCCCTTCTACAGTACGTGAATTTTAAGCTTCTGCCCAAACCACATTCTCCTTCCTCCAGAGGAAAATAAAACRCACCAAGGCTCTATACGAAGCCTCTCACGGCACCAGTCTTGGGCTCAGTCAGAGGAGAGTCCCCAGCAGCTAAACAGAGRACCAAATATTGCACAAAACCCATCATCCTTGGCTTGCATCATGGAGCAGCTACCACACTCTGGTGCCAAAGGAACATTTATTGATCCTTACTCTAGACTTGCTCTGAAGCCAAGTCCCTGGTCACCACTTGCCATCAGACCATAGTCTGGGTTCAGGCACATGGTGAAAAGCCACCTACCCAACACAGCTTTRCAAGCTACCATCCCAAAGCCAAATTCCACGGGCATCATTAGGCCAGCCCCAGATGGCCCATTTAAGCCAAAACCTTTTCGTTTGTAACAGGAGGGCATCAGCTCCTCTTTGCAAAGCTCCAATCACTCCACAGTTCAAAAGGTGTCTCTTGACTTTCAGCCACTCTGCACGATTCCCTGCTCCTCCCATGCCCAGATACAGCAGAACTGCAGTTCCTGACACTCTCKGCAGATGTCTTCGAGCACAGATTCTTTCCAGGGATGTGCTGGCTCTTTTGATTCACAGTGACGCTGAAAACAGGGTTGTTAACAGGTATCCCAGGAATCTTTCTTATCTGCAGTTATGCTCTATATTCCTCCCCTTCCCCATAAGGAAGCCAAAAATCTAGACCCAGTCTCTACAGGCTGAGGGATTTAACTCCCTTGATGCCTCTGGAAACTGAGCCTCTCACCTAAGCCAGGACTTGCTGCAGCCAGGACCAAGAGTGGAAGTTTCTGGGAGACAGAGCTAGTGCAGACGAGGCCAAAGAGATGCAGCCTTGCATAAAATGAGGGAGACCAGCCAGGAAACATCTGCTCTCAGCATGAAAAACAAGGCAGGGAGGCACCGCACACATCCTTTTGGAGTGAGGTTTCCGGAGGATTTGCCTGGGGAAAGAAGAGCCAAGGAGTCCCTGCTCACACCTAAGCACAGCATTGTGGGGCCCTGTGACACTCTCCTCACACTGTCACATGTCACCTCCTTCAGCCTSAAGGCCAAGCAGGCTGGGACATCTCCCTGGACAGAGGCTGGCCAGCTCTGGAGCTGCAGCTTTGGGCCAGCACTTGGGGTTTCTGCTCCTAGGTTCATGGCAGGGACAAGCCTCGAGCGGCACTGCCAGCAGGGAGGGCAGCCCCACATCACAGACGGCAGCAGCTCCTCGTCTCAGCCTCTGCCTCAAATGTATCCTAATAAACTGGGAATTTCAGATACCCACTGTAGCATGGGTATCATTTCCATCTTGAGGATCTTGGGAAGTCATTAAACCTTCTCTCCCTGCCACCCACACCAGCTCTGTGTAGACCAAAAGACGTATATTTAGAGCACACGTAACAACTCCAGGTCTTGAATAAACTCACGTGMGTAAATGCTCACCCTCAAGGTGGAAAAAAAGAGAAGCAACTTACAAAACACCACTTAGTGATGAGGGATATTTACTGYTCTGCAGAACAGCAGAGCACCTCATCACCTCCAGCAGTTGTGATCACTGCCTGGGCATGTCCCGACAAGACACCACCACTCTCTGCTTGGCTCTCCCACAGGAGCCCGGTCGCTCAACTGCTTCTTGCTGGGTCTCAAATTGCCAAACACAAGACAAAGAGGCACTTTCAGAGCTCCAGGAGCTTCCTCGGCTGCTGATGCTCTGTCAGGGAAGCAGGGAGGTACCAAAGGTGGCTACTTGAGGARTGATTTTGATGGCGATGCTGAAAGAGAGGGAGGAAAGCACGTGCCTCCAAAGAGGCAGCTGGAATTCAAAGCCCAGGAGGAGGGGAATTACTGAGAGACTAGCAGCTATTGGAGCCAGAAACATTAAACAGGGCAAAGATGTAACCTGCAGAATATTCAAACCTGTTATTTTTAATAAAAAGAGAAGGGAGGGGGAGCTCTGCATTACGAACAACTAGATTTTAACCGATCTGTAAAATACAGTGATTCAGATTAAGAAGTTGCATAGATTTGGGCAGAGACGTCATCTGAGAGTCAGCAAAATCAGAAAGCAAGGGGCACCACCTGCACTTTGCAATGGAAGGCAGTGGATGGAAGGTGCAACAAGACTGCTGACATGAATGTGCTCATGCCGAGCTGCACTGCATTCCACAGGGGAGTCTTCTCCCAACTACAGGGTTATGCACACAAGTCTGGTGGCAGTCARGCACCAAACACTCCACAAGGCCCCAAAAATAAAGCTGAAAGGGCACAACTTCATTCTGCTGGCGTCTGTGTGGCAAAATATCCCCTCGTTTCTGAGGATGCACCTAATAAACAGCATGACCTGAGGACTGCCACGAGATGCGAGTACCAGCACCTCTCACACCCCCTGAGCCGAATGAGAACAGAACAGTTCACAACAGGTTCTTGGTCCATACCCCATCCCACAGGGAACTGCACCCAGGACAAAGCAGTCCTCTCTGTGCCATGCAAGACTTTTGAAGGGTTCTGCCAATAAATGCAAACTGTGGGGGCCTTTGGTATGAATAAAAATAGTTCACAACATGCTTCAAACAGCTCCTAAATGCGGCACAGGACTCTTCAGCCTAGAAGAGAGATGACTCACGATGGATATGACAAAGGTTTGAAATACCATGAACAGCACGGGGAAGGCTCGGAGGGAACAAACACGCATTCTGCCTCGCTGCAGGAGAGGGAGGAGGCGTGCAGTTAAGCTCGCAGCTGACAGGTTGAAAGCAAACAAAAGGGAATATGAAGCTTACTGACACCACAGGGCTCTGTGCGACAAGAAGTCATGAGTACAGTGATTTAGAAACAAGTGTTTTCAGCCCTGAAGAACTACAGTGCTCAGGGACAAAATTTCTACCTCCTCCACTGCTGTTCTGGAGGTTTAACTATTGAGAGCAGAGTTCAGAGCAAAGAGCCACTCTTAGARCAGCGGGCTTAGAACAGCGGGAAAAATATAGAGGTCAGTGTTGCACTCTTTTACTCCTCTTAAGAAACCAAAAAAGAAAAAAAAAGCCACAAAAGACACAAAAGACAAACAATCCCATTCTTTTCTGTATTTGAAGTAATATCCCTCAATTACTCTTCCTCATTCCTTCTTCTATGCACCACAAAGTGCTTGGCCAAATTAATTCTCCCTTGGCCCTCAGGCAATTAGCAGGTATCGCTGGATGGAGGGCTCAAGAAACCGTTGAATATGACTACCCGAGAGCCACATTTCAGTCCATGATAGGATCAGTGCTGGACATAAACCAGCAGGTGCTCAGGTCTCTGCCCACACCAGGACCTTTGCTCTCTACCTCCTTCTTCCCACCTTCCTCTCTCTTCTGCTCAATCACTTCACCCTGAGGCTTCCTGGGGCAGAGCTGGGAGCTAAGAGGGTCAGACACCAGGTGAAAAGAATGGAAGGGAAGAGATTGTTTTCTTACTTCTTTGCATGATGCCACCCTCCAGGCCAGTTAATCGCTACCTTGCACTTGCCGTCCAGCAGGCACTGGGCTGCCGTGATGGTGGCTCCTCCTACAGCTGCTGCGTAGTCAAAGATCCCTTCGGTAGCGGGGCAGTCATAACCTACAGGCGAGAACCAGGGCATCAGACACAGGTGCCCATTCCCGCCAGGAGAAGCAGGTCCCCTTTGCTTGGAGCTACCAGGCCGCAAGCCCAGCTCTAACTTTGTTTGGAGCACATGGGATGGACGGCACAAGGTCTCCACAGCAGATACCACATTTGGACGCATGCAGCAGATCCAGGTGCTGCAGGTAGTACAGATAAATATGTCAGCAATTAAAATGTTTTCTTGTGCTCAAAGAACTCTCAGAAAGGTCTTGAGCCAACTTCTAATACATATGCAAGGCCTGCTTGGATCCCAACATCAACCTTGCAGAAAAGAATACCTGCTGCTTTGGCTAGTCTCAACACAGCAACTGAGGTACCTTGTCCTTCTAGAAATGAGATGCCCACAAGGAAGACCGGCCTTCTCACAGCATCCCTATGGCGGCCTCCTTGGAGCCATCCCCCAGCTCAGCTGAAGCCCAGGGCTGCAGCCAAGGAGCAGCAAAAGGCTCTGGCTCCGGGCCCTGCAGAGCTGCACCCAGCAGCACGAGGGGAGCCTCTGCCGGCCACACGGAACATATGGGTCGCTGCTTCCAGATGGAAGCAGGATGCCTGGCTACACCGGATCAGGCTGATCCTCTTTGAGACCCCACCGGGTTCCCACAGTTTGAGGCCTGTAGCTCTATAGCGAGCGTTTCCAAAGASTCAGAAAATGTCTGTGTCACCATTTGTTTAGATATAAGGCAACAAAATTCAATTCAGCTGCGAAACACAAACTTTTCATCTGCCTGTTCTGGATCACCGTGCTCTCACCATGTTCRTAGTCTCCAAGTGAAGCCACGTCCCTCTCCTGGACACTAACCCTGCAATCTCACCTTCGCAACCCAAGAGCCAACTTCAGCTCATTCTGCCTAAAGCAGCCCCGGCAAAAAGGTTTCTAGACCTGATACACAGTTGATTTCTCATGGAAGAAATGAGAATTCCATTCTCATGGAGGTGAAGTAAGAACTCAGCTGCCCACTGGTTCTGCAGGTGCTAGAGGAGGGATTTCTTTAGTCAGTAGGAAGCAATTAAGCATCTTGTTCAGGCAATTAATGCACACCGGAACAAAACAGTTAGTGAACAGTTCTCAAAGCCAAAAGGCACTAAAGTAAATCAAGAAACATTGAAGAGAGAAAGCTCTCTCCAGCCAACATGCAAAGCTTTAGGCTGAAAACGAGCYGAGCACCTTCCCTTCCCGCACCGCCAGAGGCTCTTACCAAGCCCATACTCCACGGACTCGGGGTGGTCGTCGTCTCCCTCCTCGCTGACCTTCTGCAGGTGCTGCAGGTAGGCGTCCGTGTGGAAGCTCGCCATCTCCTCCATGGAAGCCACTTTGGGCTTGACTATCCTGGCCGGAGAGGGCAAGGAGGGCAGTCAGCACAGGAGACACCGGGATATCGCCAGGAYCACTACACAGCAGCCCAAGATCCTTTTAAGATGATATGAGACACTATGCAAGGTATCTATACTATGTGAGGCCTTTCTCTCCCCCTTCCCAGTTTCTAGAGCCTAACGGGGGACTAAGGACTCGTTGCTCCTCTTCATCAAACTTGGCTTTCAGCATCACCTCTCCTGCAGAGCCTCAAGAGCCCGCCAAGAGTCTCCCAAAACCCAAGGCAAAGCAGGAGGATCTCTCCCTGCCCCAGCGCCGTTGCGGGGAGCCAGAGCAGCGCCAGCTGGGAGGGCTTCTCCCGGGGGGGGGCTTCTCCCGGGGGGGGCTTCTCCCGGGGGGGGGCTTCTCCCGGGGGGGGCTTCTCCGCCACCGGCACCGAGAGGTGCGGAGCCCCGCGCCACACGGGACGGGCGATCTCGACGCGGCACCTGCCCCACTCGCCGTCACCCCGCGCGCTCAGCGGAGCGGGCGGCCTCTCCTGCTCCGAGCAGCCCCGCGAACCCCCGCACAGGCCCAGCGGCTGCTCAGCACCGGGCGCGACCCGCACGGAACGGACCGGGACCGGGACCGGCGCGCCGCTCACCTCATCTGGTCCAGCAGGGAATACGCCTCGATCAGCGAATGCACCATGCTGGCCTAAAGGGGAGAAGCAGCAGGGTCAGCGCCGCTACGGGCCGAGGCGACACCGGAGCGCGCGGCACCGGCGAGCGAACGGGGCCGGTGCCCGGGCCCGGGCCCGCGCCCGCCCCGGGCGGCCTCGCCTCGCCTCGCCTCCCGCCCCGTCCCGTCCCGCCGCGGCGCTGACCCGCTTGGGCACTTTGCAGAGGGAGTCGCACAGGGCCACGTACTCGGCGCTGTGCACGTACACGGGCGGCGGCGCCGCCATGACGGCACCGAGCGCCGCCCGCCCGCGCGGGGCACGCCGGGACCGGTAGTGCCGCCGCCGCCGCGCGCGGGGCRCGCTGGGAGTTGTAGTCCACAGGGGGCTTTTTGGGGGTTCCCCCCTCCCGCCCGGGGCCGCCCCGTGGCCGGCAGGACCCGGCCCTTGCTGGGCAGGGAGCCGTTAGCTGCAGCTTCCCGCCGCMATCATCACCCCCGACTGCGTGTGGGGTTTTTGTATCATTTTTATTACAAAAGAACGAGAAAAAAACAAACCCGAGGCCCGCGTGGATRGTGTTGCGCCCCCCTCCTAAAGACAAGGGCCCGGGGCCGGTGCCGGGGGCCGGTGCAGGGGCGTCTCCCCCGGCCTCCTCGAGCCCCACGGCCCCYGCAGGGCCCTCAAGGCCGCTGTGGGGCTTCCCCTGGGCCCGACTCCCTCCCCAACAGCCCGGTCCTCGCGCCCGGAGCAGCGGGACGGGCCCCGCACCTGCCCCAGGCCCMGGCCAGGAGCAAGGCCCCGCCGAGCAGCCCCCTTGGAGCTGCTCCCGAGGGCAGGGCCACGTTTTCCAGCAGCAGCAGCAGCACACGAGCAAAGGCTCCACGTCACCTCCTTATGAAGCCTGACTGCTTGGAGCAACGAAGCAGCACGGAGCGGATAAATACAACCCAAAGCTGCCGGAGGGGAGCGCGAGCGGGGCCTCGTGCCGCGTCCCCCGGKGCTGGCAGCACACGAAGCCATGCGAACAGACCTAACAGCGCGGCCTCCAGCGCCCCGGCTGCGGGGCCGGCACACGGGCCGGCCTGGACACGCGCGGAGCCCTCGGCAGAGCCGCTGTCCCCACGGGCGCGCGGCCCCGCCAGCGCTGCGAGGCCGGATAACTACGCAGGCTGCTTCCAAACTAGCCTAAGGCCYGAGCGGGAAAGCTGCCCGAAGCATCCCCCTCCATCTGCGATGCAGGGAGAGGAGCTCCAAGAGCTACTGCATGGAGCAGCCCTCGTTGGGCAGGAAGTCGTAGACGTAGATGGCCACCGATTTGGAGAGGTAGGCCATGGTGCCGAACCTCCCGCTGGGCGCGCTGTCGTACAGCAGGATGCAGATGCCGGTGGTGGGATCCTTCTCCAGCATGTGGTCGTCAGCACCCAGCGCCTTCTGCGTTTTGGACGCGAGAGGAGGAGCGTTAGGCACGGGGACAGCCTCCAGCAGCCTCCAGCCACATCCGCCCCTCCCCGTACCTGCTCCTCGTAGAACATGTCGTTGGCGATGTGCAGGATCTTCTCCACGGCAATGATGCCGCCAATGGTGTGCACCTCCATGTCCACCAGCATGGTGAGCACCAGGATGGCCTCCACCAGCAGCTGCCGGTACTCGGGCTGGGGCACGCGGTTCAGCACGGACTCCACGTGCACCGCGAACTTCAGCTCCCCTGGCGTCATCTGCAAGGAGGAGGCAGAGGAGCAACGTGCCTTGAGGACAGTGTCACCTGCACAGGCCGCGATGGCCCCCTGCCCAGCGCTGCTCCCCCGCCGGCACCAGCCACCTCGCTTTCCCCACATGAACTCCTTACCTCTCTGGTTGTGGAAGAGGGGAGGACAAATCCCTCCACGGAGAGGCCATGGCACTGCAGAACAAGCCAGAGGACTGTGKTTACGGCACTGCGAGGCACTGCTTGCGGGCAGGCTCAAGGCCTCTCCGAAGGGCTGTGTGTGCTGCACCTCCCAGCACACGGATCAGCCTGTTGTTTTCCTCCCATCAGCCGGGCTCCGGAGGGGCTGGACGGAGCCCTCCCACACACAGCATCGCGCTCTGCTCCCTATCTCACAGCAGGCAGGGAGCAGCCTGGCGCTGCTTCAGCGCTCTCTCCAGCACTGGCCCCAGCAGCTTACAGCTCAGCTCCTGGGCTAGCGGGTGAAGCACCTGAGCAGACCCAGCCCCACCTGCGAGGATGATGAAGCAGGTCCTGCCTGCCTCCAAGGCAGCTCCAGCTGCAGAACCATCCAGCTTTTCCCCATCAGGCCTCAGCTATGAAGCTGCCTTCTACCCAACCTCAGCAGCCACCCCTGGGTGCCTACGTCCCCTCTGGAGACCAGTGATTGGAACCACAGGCTCACGTGCGTAGAGTGAAGCCAGACTTGCCACTCACCTTCTGCAGGACCTTCCAGACCTTCTGGTAGAAGCCCACRGGGACACGGTTGAGGGCCCCATCGAGGCGCCGGCGGCGCTGCCACTGCCCTTGGCGGCTGTCCTTGGCACCTTGGCCTTCCAGCAAGCTCGTGAGAGAGGCCTTGCCCGGCACCTCCAAGTGCCCAGGAGACTGGGCGGACAGAACAGGGAGCACAGAGACCACGGCACTGTTAAACACCCCACAGGGGCACATCCTGCAGCTGCCTAAGGGCTCACGCTTACCCAGGGCCAAGGAGCATCGATTCTGGCTGCCAACCCCACTGTGTTCCCCTGCCCTCCTCCACCCTGCCATTTGCCTGCTAGCTAAGCCCCAAAGAGCAGCCGGGGCCACTGCTAAGGCAAGAGGCCACTGAAGAGCATCTGCTGTGGACGGGGGCCACCCCTGACCCGACACCCTCGTGCCCAGGCCCCCGGCACACTGCACTGCTGCTTGTCACTGCTGCTTGCCCAGGGCCCCCCAGAATGTCCCCGCGGGGACGCCCGGCCGTGCTGCGGGGCTGGCTYGCCCCGCTGGCGCTGGCCTCGCGTCGCGCTGCCCGCACAGTGCCCTGTTCAGGGCACCAGCCACACAGACGGGACACGCCACAGACGTATCCACCCAGAGCACGTTACCAGAGGGGACTTGGCATCTGCCTCCCCGGACTGCACATCGAGGGCCTAAAGGAGAAGACGAGAGAAATGAGATCCCACCCGTGCCGAGCGGCTCCTGGGGCGAGCAGAGCCGCAGCAGCAGTGCAGACCAAGCCTGGATCCCAGGGTGCTTATCCCAGGGGTTGTGGTTAGCTGGAGACGGAGAGGAGGCTTTGACAGTCGAGCTGTGGAGAGTCTCAGGTTAGTGTCAGAGGGGAAGGGATGCCCCAGGGCACGGAGCAGCTGTGAGTCCCCACGTGCCAACGCCAAGGTGACAGTGGTAGCGGGGCTGCTCCCTTGGCAGCTAGCACAGGCAAAGGGGACTTGGTCACAGATCTGAGGGCCAGCTGAGCCTTCCTGCCACACACTTTGTTTCCCTGTGTCACGCTGCAGCATCTTGACCATATGCAGGGTGGCCTGTTGGGCCCCACAGTGCCCATGAGGAGAGGACTCCCCCCACGCCAGCCCCACAGGGGCTCAGAACCCCTGCAGGACACAGGCCAGGCATGAGACATGGCCCCTCATCATCTACAGCTGGGCACCAGCCTCTCTTCCCTGCACAAAACAGCCCGGGGGGCTGCAGGCCAGCTCCAAAGGTAGCATGTTTGCCAATGAAGTTCTCAGCAGGGCTGCAGCTGGTCACGGCTCTGGGGACATCACGCCATGCTGCTCAGCACCCGTGGGTCCTTTTGCAGGTACAACAGGATCTGCCCAGCCCCAGAGCACAGCTCCCATCTCCCAGGTGCCCTTCTGCAAGGGGAGCTCCCCCGAAGGCCGATGCTGGCCCCACGCTTCCCAGCGTGTTCGGCCACGCTGGCCTCTTCCCGGGAGGCCAAACCTCCTTCCCGGGGCTGCGCAGAGCAGCGGGGAGCCCCGGGCCTGCCGGGAGGGGAGGCCAGCTCACGGCGGCGAAGCTGGTTAGTTTAGGTGTGCGTGGAAGCTGCCTCRGGGGGTGGCGTTAGGGTAAAAGCTGAGGCTGTAGGAAGACCAGGCTAGGTTCACCTTAATCCCAGGCAGAGACTGCCTGCGTTTATCCAGTTGCTGAAAGAGAAGGAGGAAATGAAATTTATGCTCCTGGCAAAGGCCCACCAGGATACCGTCCACCCTGTGAGGTCCTTCCCACCCCTGCCCTTTCGCCAGCACCCTGTGTTCCCCTCTACTGCACTGCCAGAGCCACCCTCCCACCCCCTCAACAGCAGATTAACACCACAGCCCCCTGGTGCAGGGCTGGAGCTGGAGGGAGGTCCTCAGGGCAGCTGGGAGCTCTCCAAGCCCAGGACTCGACTCCTCCTGCTCTCCCATGGAGCGTGTCCGTCCACGTGTCGCTTGTCCCCCGCACTTCTCCCAGGGAGCAGCCGGCACCGTCTGCACTTACCTGCTTGATCTCACTTTTCAGCTGGACGATGCCGGTCCGCTCAGTCTTGGTGGCCCCACCAGCGCCCACATCATGGATGGAGATAGTGGTGGTCATCGCCGAGTCCACCGACCGCACTGGGGGAGAGCAGAGAGCGCAAGTCAGCGCCGCAGCTCCGAGGAAGCCTCTCACTGCTGCGTGATGCCTCGTGTTGAGACCTGCAGCCAACCTCGCCCTCCATCCCAGCCCGCAGCACAGAGAGGCCGTGGGCAGGGCTTCCCTGCGCTCCAGGCCTGGCTCAGGCTACAGTGCTGAGCTAAGCAAGCGCAGAGAGCAGCCCCGTAGGACACAGACCCAGTCCCAGGAAACCTGCTCAGCACCACCCTGCTGAGGAGCAGGGTTTCTTGCTGGGGCACTGCCTTGCAGGACAACCATGTGCTGCACACGCAGGAGGACACACATGGTTGTATCCCATACAACAATGATTTGAAAGCCTCAAGTTGACCGTGCTCCTCACTGAGGTCCAGTGTTGCCCAGAGACACTCTCAAAGCTCTGTGATACTCACTGCTCTTTTCCACCCCAAACTCCTTTCCAGAGAGAATGTGGAAGAGAAGATTCTTCACATCTGATGGACTGAGATTCATCAGGCTCTCGGTGGCTTCTCCAGCTAGAAGGAGCAGAGAGTTGGGATAGGGTCCCCCCTCCAGATCCCCACCATGCAATTCCCAGCCTGTGTGTTAGCAGAGTAAGTTCTGGCACCGGACGTGTCTCCAAACACACACCAACTCCACGTGTAGCCCATAAGAACTCTTTCCCATGCCAGCCCAGTATGTCTGAATGGAGATAGGAGCAAAACTGCCAGTGCTGCCAGGCAGC